TGCATTTGCTAGCTTTCTAGCCAGAATGCAAAGTTTCTGAAGGGTAAAAAAGCTAGCACCCAGAAGGCAAGAGCTTACTTTCCCCAGGCCAACACAGCAATTTTCTTCTGCATAATGAGGGGAGAAGAATCATCTTGCTGGCCCAGGAAAAGGCAGTTCAGATCCTCAGGATCCAAGTTTCCTTTCTCTGGTTCAGTCTGGCAGTTCCCTTTCACACATGGAAGACAGGGGAAGGTTTGCGGTAGACTGGAGAAATGAAGCTTGGCTCTTTGGGATCCAATCTTTGTTTTTCCAGCACAGCACAGGATTTCCCTTCTGCGCATGGAGGAGAGCTGCCTGCCCTCTTTTAGCAGGCAACTCTTTCACTCTGCCTGCTTATTGACCACTACTATGAGGGCCTGGTTAGCAGTTGTTGAATGAGGCGGACACATAGGCACCTCACTAAATGATTCCAATGAATTAAACCAAAATTCCAGGCCTAACTGTAATTGTAAGTTGAGGAGTACCCCATGCCATTATAAATGAATAATAGAGAAAGGGGTCCTCTATTATTTATCTGATATTAACTCCATATTTTCAGAGGAAAGCACAGTATCATACATCTCCACCTAAGAAGTGACATATAATGACTGTGTCAAAGTTAATTTATTTGTATAATTAATATGCTGGTTGCACTGCTTTCCTATATAATGTAATACTGTTATAATAATACATAACGGCTTGTGGCCATCTCTTACTGGAAATTGACATAAGAAAATATACTAGTTTAAAGGCCACATATTAAAGATTTTTTTGGTCAGAGTAACAAAAAAGATTTTTTTTAATAATATCTGTTGAGACAATTAGGGTGTGTTCAAATCTTACTTCATACAAATAGCCAATTGGAATTACCAATATACGTCTTATTGCTAACATTAATAGAAAAATTCTGATTTAGTTCTTGAAAGTAGGATTTGGAAAGCACAAAATTCAACAGGAAACTATGAGAGTAACTCAACTTGCATGAGTGACAATTATTAAAGCACTTAGCAGAGAATACTGCTAATCCTCCATTTTCTTTCCAACCCATAGTTAAGCAATGTTCACCAGAAATTACATAAGTGATATGATCATATCTCACATGTGTAGAGCCATAGGGGGAAAAAAGCAGACTCTTTGTTGGGTCTGCTTAAAAAAAAATCAAGAGAACTTGTAGAGCAGTATGAAGCAAATGTTAGTCTGATTTACTGGAGGCTTTTCAAGTAGGTATGCTTTATCAGCTCTCACCAAAATGAAAATTGTATACATTAAAGAGAAGGTCCCCAGTTAATCAAAGAACTTCAGCTTAAAATTACATCTAGGAAAATGAAATTCTGCAATCTAAATGCTAGCATCTATTTTTAAAGATTATGCCAACAGAAGTTGGTTTATTTATATTTCAACATACAGTACAAAAAGAGACAAATACCAGTTCTCATAATACTAGAAAATATAATTGTTGGCAAATTATCTGGAAAGTCCTGAGGATGTTTGTATTCAATTCACATTAGTAAAAAGTAAGATAGTCTTAATTCAAACAATATTTTGGGTGGAAGTGACCCAACAATTTACATTTCCGCACTTCCCCATTTTGTGCAGCATTCCTCTCAATTTCCTGATCAGTGTTTTTTCCCAGCAAAGCAAAACTGTTGTGAATGAGCAGAGATAACTGGGAATAGCTTCCAAAGTAGCCCCTCCTAAGCACTCTGAAGAACAGTTTAAAGGATTTTTACAACATTAAAAAACCAAGGAAGTTTCATATGTAAAGTATATTTACTAACCACATTTCAGCATATAAGGCATAATAGCAACCTAGAGATAAAGCTAAGTAGGAAATAGAAACCTCACTCAAAATCAAGAAACAAGCATGCAAACCTACAGCTTGCGTCCTACTTTGCATCCAGAAGAGTGCAGAAGTGAACAACTTTTGCGAGGCTGAGGGCCAATTGGTTTTTTAAGTGTTGCATCATGAAAAACACTGCTACATGTGCAGAATGAGGATAAAAAACTGGGTGGGACCAAATGTAAATTTAATTTTAATTTTAAATGCAATACAAAGTTAATATGATTACTTCTCACATCTATGAACATTTCTCAAAGTGGAATATTAAAATTCCAATTCTGTGGCAACTTTTGTAGGGTGTGCCTATTTTTAGGAGGTTGTATATGGCCCAAAGAACAACATCTGTTCATCTCCTATTTGGAGTTTATATGTTTTCAGTTTTAGGAATGAATCCATTTGTATCTTTGTACTCAAAAATTGAGGAAATTATTTGAGAAAATTCTAATCTTTATTTTAAAGTGTGTTATGTTTTTGTAATCTAATTCAAGTAGAATAGAATATATTAACCACAACAGTATGAAGATGCAGCTGGGAGTAAGTCTGTATGTAATGGGAATTATGTATGCTATGAAAATAATATAAGATTATTGCCAGAGTGGCACCATAATTACACAACTTACATTCTTAGATTGTTTTTTCTTTTGGAACTAAATATACATGAATCATATAGTTGGCATTTTCATGGATCAGAAATTGTTCAAATATCAACCTACTTATATACAAAGGCTTCCATTTCAGTTGATCTTGGCATACTTTAGAAGATCAGACCAACTGAAACAATTACAATTTCATGGTGGCTCTAAGAATGCACCCTGGTGAAATATGAACTAAATAATATTTGGCTTTCAGATGCCAGTCTGTGGATTATTCACAAATTTGTATTTTGGTGTTTTGGGCTTGTTCATATTTCTCCACTGATGGAGGAAAATATGTGGAATGGTTTATCTGTAATCATATAGTTACCACATGTTAGAAATAAAACAACATCCATCAAGTAGTAGCAATTAAAGTGCTGCAGGAACATTTTGCTTCTGTACCATATTTAATTCAGAAAACTTTAAAACATGTTGGAGAAGGGAAGAAATAAAACACAAGCCTATTACCTTCTAAACCAAGTATTTCCACAATCCTTTGAAATAGAATACTTGCAGTTATCCACAAATAATGTTACATTTTTGCAGTAGTCTAGACTTTTACACCATAAAATTTTCTTCTGAACTAAGCAAAGAAGCTTTTCTTTAAAGAAAAAACCAGTATATTCTGCTGACCAAGTAAATACATTGTTTTCAGTAACAATGTTACATATTTAAGACTGATATCTTCGATGAGATCTCTGACAGTTTATCAACAAACATGAAATGTTCTGTTCTTGATGAGATTAACATTAGACAGATCAGTTTGAAATGTTCTGTTCTTGATGAGATTAACATTAGACAGATCAGTTTTTCAATAAAAGGTTTATCAAATAAATGTTCCAACAGAAATCTGCATAATGGAATGAAGATAAGAAATAAGAGCTTTTAACTTCTTAATAAGACTTAAATAAAAAAAAATTGAAAGTTTCAGGATTTATTCCACATTTTCAAGGTCCAATTAGTGCCACACCTAACAGATGCTATATATAAAACACAAGAGAAGAGCTTAAGCAATTAAGTGTTTTTCAAATTAGTTCTGACTGAATGGATGTTAATAAATATAAGAAAAATAACTTAGATTTCACAAATAATTCAGAGTGTTGTATTTTAAAGCATTTTTGTAATTTCATCCATTCATAAACAAAATAGGAACCTACAGTTGGATGGGCTTTAGCTGAGCTAATGGCATGCAGCAATACTGCTTCAAAGTAATATTCATACACTATCCAATACCCAATTGATCACTTCTACTTTGTTTTTTTTCTGATGTTTTACATTTCACAGTGTTCTCAAACACATTAAGAATTTTTCATTTTCAGAAGCTTGCTCCAGAGCATGATACTCTTAAAAGGAGAAAGTGATATTGATGCATCCAGTTGTGTTATTCAATCGTTCTTACCTTTTCAGAATTCAGGGATAAGCAAAGCCTCAAAGAAAAGGCTCATTCTCAGCTACAGTTTTATCCGTGCTGAAAATGGAAGCAATCTTAATGACTCTTATCTAACAGAACATGCCAGATATGCTAATGTGTCTAGGGGGAGGGGCAGAAAGAGGGAACCCTCTTACCAAAGATACATGCCATGCTATTATTAAAGATGTTTTACAACTATGGGTAACAGCCAAGAGTCTCTACCAAAGCAAGAAATGTAATAATAGTGTTGTTTTTTTTTAAAGACAGGGATGTCAATTTATATCCTTAGTGTCCCCTGTTCTTTTAGAAGCTACTGTACAGCCTACCTAGTTTCCAAACCCGGTATTAAGAGGATTTTTAATGTATTCCTGACACTCTGACCTCTACTGTCAAGCTTCCACCAATCAGGGGCTGGCATTTCTTACAAAGCTCCATCAATCTGGTGATTTAACATCACACAGACTGCAGCTTAATCTAGAGGATTCCATTTTTCCTCCTGCACACCAAGGCAGTGCACCATTATATAAGCCTGTTTCTTTCTTCTCTCCCAGCTGCCTCTTCTACGATCTTCCAAATGCCCGCCTTACAAAAGGACATGGAGAAAAACATCAGCACTCATACTACAGCCGTGTGTGTGTGTGTGTGTGTGTGTGTGTGTGTGTGTGTGTGTGGGCGCGCGCGCTCATACACGAAAAAATGCACTCACTCCAGAATGCGGATCTTATTTTCTTCATGCAAAAAAAGAAAAAGAAAATAGGAGGGGGAGCTGGAAAATAGAGAAAGCGCCTCTATAAGAGGGAAAGAATATTCACAAGAGGTTTTTCACGCAGACAATGCAAGGAGCTCATTAAAACTGCTAAACATGCTACACGAGGAGACACGCTAGATTAGGCTTCGGTGCCCCGCTGTTTTTATTATGCAACGTCCTGCAACCCTGCTCTTTTTCCTCCCGACACTGCAGCAATTCTCCAAGGGGGTCAGTGGGGTGTGTGTGTGTGTGTGTGTGTGTCTACGACGCACACGCAGCGCGCACGCCCAAACTCGCACACGGGGGTGGGGTGGGGGGTGAGAGAGAGAAAAGAGAGCGGGTTACCTGTAGGAGCGCTCCCCTCGCACTGTATGCTTCCTGAAAGGGATGATGGTGCCGTTATCCTGGATGATGTCGTTGTTGTTCTCTCCATTTGGGGACAGCGCTTGAGTAGGACCAGGCATTGGAGCGCTCCCAAAAGCAAGCAGCCCAAAACCTGGGTGCCTGGGCGAGGAGAGGCTGGGACGGGCTGGGCTGCTGCTTTTCCCTTTACTACCGATTCTGTCCGATTCTCTCTTCGCCGCCGTCTTCTTTCCCCTCCTTTCTGGTCGGTGACGTCAAATAGCCGGGAGCAGCACCCAGGCCACGTGACTGGCTCCTCACCATAGCAACCGGCTAACTCATCAGCTCTCCTCGATTCACGCAGAGGGCTTGAGCGCGGCCACACGGAGGCAGCCAAACAGGCGCAAGGGGCGGGGCTAACATCTGGCACGTAGAGCCCACTCGGCTTGGCGCCCCCCCCGCCCCCCCCCCGCTCCGGGCCTCGCTTCCTCTCCGATTTCGCTCCAGCCGCGCGCTGTGTAAATGCGGCTGCCGATACAAAGAGCCAGCCTTAGGAAGAGGGAGGCATAGAAGAAGAGCGGCTGCGCACGCTCCAAAAAGACATCCCTTCAGTACTGTATTCGGCTTAGCGGGTTTTTTTTTGGTGGGGGGGGGTTGCCTTCACGCCTCACCCCCGTTCGTAAAATTTTACACCAATCATTCCTGCCTTTTCAGACAAGTCGGATCACAATCAAAACATGCGATCGAGTGCTCGAAGAAGCCGAGCTTTAGAATTACGAGGTTCTCTTCACCGTACCATAATCGTCCCGGATGAAGCCTGGAAAATGTGCACAGCATGGGAAGTAGCTCTCAGCAGATAAAGCGAGGGAGATGGCGGGCTAAAGGCAAGTTTTCTACACAGTTATGTTTAAATGGCGATTACACTAGTCTCTTTTGCTTTTTCCATTAAGGCGACTTATTGAATTTTCAGGCAAAGAACAACATGATAAAAAGCTCTTCCCACACCTAAGTATGGAGACAAGCAAAGAAGCATTTCATATTCTACCCTTCCTTGGCAATAATAATTTATTACAATTATAGCCCTAGCAAACAAAATGAAAAGCCTTTTGTTCATAGCTTCATAATCCACTAACATCTCCATCCTCACCATAGCAAATTATCTTTGGCCCCATGACTGAAAGCAGTATCAAAAACACTGAGATGGCATCAATAAACTAGATATTAGAATTGTGGACATAAATCCTAATAAGGTGTTTGTATGGTATAATCCTCATCACTGTCATCATAAAATCACTTCTCAGACACTTATTTATTAACAAAAAAAGAGTAAAGCAATGCTGCTAAATTTTTACAGTATTAAAGATCTGACTATAAGTCTGCATGTGTTGTTAAACATTTTTCATTTTCCTCTTATATATTCTTAGCAGGAAAAAGAGTATCTAAAAACTCCTTTCTTAAAGGCTTTTGAAATCACCTTGAAAAGTTTAAATGCATTTTAAATACCTCAGAGTATTCACTGAATCTTTTTGATGGCTTTCTTCCTTCAGAATATGCATGAAGAGGAAGGCAGTTAAAGTGTTTTGTAAAAAGTAACAGATCTTAACAACAATCTTGTTAAGTACTCTAAATAACCTACACTCCTTTGGTCTCAAGTGTCCCTGCCTGCCAATTGTTTTCATCTATTTACCATAAAGTAATAAATAAAGCTTTGATTTTATAATGTTTTAAGCAGGGAGAAGAGTATCCACCCAAATTACAATTTTTTTTGAAGAGCTATTCCTCCAAATAATAGATAACTTACTGTGGATTTTACAAGATTAATTTAGGGCATGTGAGCAAGTTGGAGAGCTATGGAGCTTTTCTGAGTGATAGGCTTAGGAATTTCAGAAGAAAGGACCAAATAAACACAATTATCATTTATTTTCTATGAATTCCTAATATCTGCGCCTACCATATTTTCTCCAAAGCTGCCTAGGGTGAAGTTCATATCATTACATACATGTTATGTAACCTGTTTCAAGGATGCTTTACAAAAAATAAGATTTACAGACAACAAAGAGCTAAATTAAAAAATTGTGCTAAGTAAAATCCAAATAAATTATACCACATTTAAAACGATTTGTAAATCAGTGTGAAATAGTTGAAGACAAAGGCTACCTGCCCATATATAATTATGAAATAATTTTGCCAAAATGATCCTTATCCTAATTTTGAAAATCTAGATCACTATATCATATTAACTTGGCTCTTTATTTGTTTTAACCTAACGTATTTCAATATCAGTCAAGGTAGATGGCATCATCTAGGCAACACGGGCTAATATAATTTTTTTTAAAGAATTGGATCTGGATAGTACTTTGAATGGAAGATCATCAAGACATCCTAGGTTTATAGTGTAGACTAGAAAGTTGAAAAATACCCTAGAAGAAGAATTACTTTTACATCATTGCCTTTTATTTCCATCTCAGTTGTGATATGGGTTTAAGGAAGCCTGACTTCAAAGGAATTGAGAAAAATCTCCTTATTTTTGGTGGAAAAGAAATGTATCACAAGTGACGCCAAACCCACTCTAATATTTGATGTGGGGGGGGGGAAGCATGTATTAATTTTTTTCTTCTATTCAAGAAAATAGAAAGTGGCTGGCCCAAGGTCATCCAATGGTCATCCAGGCTTCCTTAAAACCATATCCAATGGGCTTTGTGTCTAAGGTGGGACGAGAACTCATAGTCTCCTGATGCTTTAATCACTACACCAAACTGGCTCTTTAACTATTCTTTATTGAGAAGGTGCAAATATTCTTGCCAAACAAATAATTAAGCCAAACATTTTCAGAAATGTGCTATAATCTGCTCTAGTTATCCACATTCATTACATTTATTAAGAAATATTGACCAACCACAATCATATTCTACCACATCCATACTTCTTTTTAAAAAATAGAACAGTAGACCATTATACAATGAGTAATGCCAGTTCTCTGGAAATTGATTGAATTTCTCAGTCAGGATAACTGCTGTGCTACAGTGTATGCATAAACGTTGACACTGCAATCAATAGCTTTTTTTCTCAAATAAACACTGAACTTCTCATCTTTCTTTACAAGTACACCTTTATAGGCATTTTCCTCCACATTTATAGTCCTGTATCTTGATTATGGAACAAATAAGGGAAAAGACATATCTTTTCATATCAGATGGTCAAATTATTTACTACTTCTTGCTTTGATTCTCAAATGCATAATGTACTGGCTCTACCTACTCCAGGATCCTGAATTCTGTCCAATAATGTCTCTATTTTTAATGTAAAAGCTCATCTCCACTCAGTGTTCCTGACCCTACCCTGAATAGGAACTACAGGATCATAAAAATGGAATTTTTAATGTAGTATTGATACATCTTTGCACATTATTTTAGCTATATTATATTTTATATCTGAAGGATTCCTCAAAAGCACTTTCACTCTTCAGTTTTTCAAAAAGTTTCAGGATGCAATCACACTCCCTTCAAATTCCACTTTTTTAAATTAAACTTTTGGTAAAACTTTTTGGTTTTCATGCTCTTTGTAATTCCACCTACCTATTAACTAATCTAGTTGAAGCAGTCCCATTCTGCTTTTCTATTTACTTTTTATTTTAAAAGTTTTTACTTTTCTTGCATTTTCTCTGAGCCACATTATGCCATATTATATTATAATTTGCCAAAGGCATTTATCTCTCTTCACGTACTCTGCAAAGTATTACATATATTTACCGTGCTATGTAAACAGTAAGGCAATAATAGTTTACAGCAAAACTGTCTAACCATTTGGCTTGCCTGGGCCACATTGACTGAAGTAGAATTATCTTGGATGGCATATAAAATATTTAATATAGTTAGTGTATAAACTTTCTTTTTTATATATTTTTATTATCTTGCAGGGCTGCACTAGCTGTCCAGGGCCACATGCAGCATGTGGACTGCAGATTAGACATCCCTGTTATACAGTAAATATTTAAGTATCATTATAGATGTTGGGTTGTACAAATGTTTTATCTTTCTTTGAGAAATGTACTTTTGATACTTTCTTGCACCATTAAATAAATAACATGACTGCAAAATAACTTAACGGATACATTAAAAAAAAAAACTTGGAAACTATGCTGAGATAATAGTTCTGGATATTGTAGCTACCTTTTAAAAATTGACATTTCAATATTTACTTCATTGAGCCCATTAAGCAAATTCTAAAAATACTGTATATAATTGTAGTATTACATGTTAAATTTGTTTCAGTTCTGAAAAAAATCAAGTATATTTCCAAGGAGACCTATTCTCAACATTAGCTGTTTTATTCCGTGTTTGGAAAATAAAGGTATAGAACGGGGGTAAAATTAAGGTATAGAACGGAGAAAAAACAGCATACATTTTTTCTTTTTTAATAGCAGTTTTGCCAGAACTATTCTGAGAACAGAGAGAAGAAATGATATAAGTTCCATATGGATAGCAGACATTTTAGCCTGGCTGACATTCACTGCTTGGAAACAATGCACACATTACAGATGTACTTAATTTTACCATCATCACAAGCTGCTACAAATATACTAAGTCATTTAGTAGGATTCTATCTTCCACAGCTATAGTTGTTACATCCCCCTCAAAGCTCCACTTCCATTTATGAACCAACTGACAAAAGAACATAGACTGAAAGCAAGTAGTTAGAATATTGTTTGGTTCTTTTAAACAAATCAATAAGTAGTAATTTTTTGGGTTTTGGGAACTATGTCTAAAGAGAGTGCTTTGCATTCATCCTCCCTCCACCAAATGAAAACAAAGAAAATGTTTCTTAAATAGAACAGTGCAATTTAAAAAAAATATCAATAAACTCAGTATCTTTAAAACATGCTTTAAAAATATCTTTCTCCCAGTATTTTCCTTTCTTTCTGCATAATGGGTAATTCTCATCAGAACAGAAGAACCAGATTCAAATAATATAGCATTAAAATTAAAAGACACTAACATATATTTTGTTAGCGTAATTTGTTATTCCAAGAACAACTTTGAGAATTTTTACACTAGAATATTTTGTGTGTGTGTGTGTGTTTTTAAACATGGCTGAGATTGTTACAGATATACATCCCATGGTGTTGCTACAAAGTTCTGTAAGAAAAAAAGAAAGAGCACATTCAAATGTGTTTCACTCAGTTTGCAAACTAAGTACAGTATTTTTTCTTTTTTTTTGACTCAAGGGTCTCCTATGTCACAGCCATTTCTTTTCCTTTT